CTAGATTCTTTCCAGGTATCAACATCAGACTGACTGACTGTATTTTATTGAACCTTCCTTCTTCCCTTTTTTGAAGAGATGTTTGCTTTCCTATTCAAGTTCTGCCACCTGTTCTCCAAATTTTTTGAAGATTATGTAACCCTTCAGTATTCTAGGATGCAAATTATTTATCTCCGTTTAGACACAAAATACACATTCTTTTACCATGTTTCTATCAGTCTCAGACTAAATTCTGTTTTTCTATTCTGCTTATTACATTTCTGGGGCGGGGGGGGGGGGGGGTTGGGGCAGGAATGGAGACAGAAAGGATTGAATTGCAATAGGGTTGAGAAGTATTGTTTTCATTGTTCCCTTTTAGAATTTAACTGGTTTTCCTAAACAGCCGGTATACTAATTATTTTCTTTGTATTTTAGTTGGCATATACTTCTTTGTTATTCCTAGCAATTTTTGCAAATGTCAGTTTTTGGCTTCCTGGCACAAGCTCTACAGAACAAGACAATCTGCCTTTACTCTTGCTTTATAATCTTTTATTCCATTTCCTGTATAGATTTTAAAATTTGTTTCCAGTTGTCTCCCCCTCCGTGTGAATGTGTTTGTGAGAGACGGGGAGGGGGAGTGTTCAACTTCTTTTGCTATCCATTTTTACGTTCTCACCTGAATTGTTTACAGCTATGCTTTTAATATCTCCTTTGGAAAAGGAATACAGGAGCTGTTAATGATAATTTGCTCCTGGAAAAGAGGAAAATATAATAAACTCAAAATAACGCTGCTTTGATTAAGAAGCAAGAGAGAAACTCTTGGCAGGCTTTCAAGATTCTGTTTTGAAAACCTATAATAAAGTTGTATTTTTGTAATCCTTGATCTAACCTGATGCAAAAAAATTATCTTTAGAAATTTCCACTCATTTTGCTTGCATTATCATGCGATGGGATCCTATTTATCATTGCTTAGTTCAAAACCACGTCTCATTACACTCAATTTTATTAAAATCAAGAACTACAGGATTCCATTATCACTTTCACCCTCCTTGCATGCTACTTCCACCTCTCAAATTAAGTCTTATTTAGTGCTGTGGTATCAAGCTAGCTGATTCTCTTTTATCTTCGTTCACATTATGAAGAAAAAAGCTGTTGACAAATAAAAACTCCAACAAATCAGGAACAACTGGGTCTCTTTTGTCTTCTACCTTATGAAGAAAGTTGTTGACAAGTCAAAAGTTCCTGAAAAGATCATGCTTCAGAGACATGATGTCAGGCTACTTAGTCTATCATTAGGACTCCATGTGTTCCAGTTTGTTTTTGAAATATCATCCACATCTTTTCCTTGGATGGGAAAACAAGACACCAACAACAGAATGAGTTTATTTGTTCATGCATGCAGGTAATGTTTTACAATACTTGAATTTCTGAATACAACTGAATATTTAAACATACAATATACTTCCTCTTTCTTTTGCTTCTCTTCCTTTTAAACAAATGATATTTTTTTAACAAAATGGGATAAAACTATAAAAGCACATAAATAAATAAAACAGTTGGCTGTTCTCCAGTCATGGGAGTCATTTGTTATATCTTTCCTGTCTGTAAAGAACTATGCTTAAAATTTGATGTACAGTATTACTTTGGAATAAAGGCAATCCAAGTAGGGTAGACATCAGTATTAGGGACAGCACGTATCATGTCATGTGGGCTGGGTGGATATCACTTAACTCAATAAATGAGCGCTAAAGAAAAACCTTCTGTAAAAAAGGTGATTAGGTTTTATTAAGTAATAATTTGTAAACTGTCATTAACATATACAAGAGACTTAATGAGTAACTTTTCCTCTGAGAAGTAGGCATATTGCAGCTAAAAACGTAAGCATATTAGAAAGCAGATACCTCCACCTTTACATTAGGATAAATATGCAATCCTTCAAATGTTGGTGGGCTACAGATCCCATGATTTCTCAGCACTGGACAAACTGGCAAAGAATGATAGACATCAACAGCATCTGGATGCCTCACTGCAGATTCCTACTGTGTATTGGTGGATCAAGGATATCTGCCAGGCATTAACTAGACAGCTCAGATGCGAATTACAGCTAGAAGTTACAGGTTTTGTTTCTTTATGCACATAATCCCATGTGTTTGCAGTGATTTTTCCTTCCCTTTTCCTTCTTCTCAGTAGTTATCTAATACTGATAGATCAATAATTTATGACAGAAACTAATTTATCTCATATTAAAAAATGCTAGAAGTTTAGTCATACCGACAGGGTCAGTTAAGTGTGTGGAATCAATTTTTTAAGATCAAAACCCCTTTTCTACACAGGACATGCTGACTTTCCTGTTTTTGTAGAAACTCCCATGCTCCTAGAATAGCATAGCAAGTATGTTTCCTGCTATGCTATAAACATGAATATCAACAACTGCAACTAATCTGCAAAGTTTCTCTCAAAAATTGCCTCACTCGTTAAGCATATTATACACTTTGCTCCGAACTCTAACCAGCACAAGTCACATATATTTATTTTACCTGATTCTTTGGGGACCCTTTGGCATAAGTACAGTAAATCAATTGAATTAAGACTATTATACTCTTTTAGGAAGAAAAGATCTGAGAAAAAAGAAAAACAATATCTATCACTTCTTACCATCACCTGAAGTCTTGGGGTATGTGGAATTTCTTGAAAATGGCAATTGGAATAACTTATTAGGGCATAATTCAGAGCTGAGGTAAAAATGTGCGAGCAAAGACAATACAAAGATTATATTAATAATAGCATGATTTATTCTCATTTCAAAAGATTTATATAGTAACTCTTAAAAATTAGCTGCTGGGTATTTCAAGATTTTGGCATTTCTTGGATATTGCGGATAATACTAGGCAGACAAACATCACTGAATCTCTATCTCACAATTAAAATCTTCAGTAGATACATGAAAAAATACTCCAGATGCATGCAAACTCTATGGTCATTATACCTATACATTAGCTAGGACTAAAATCTCATTTATAATGACAAAATTCCTTTTATACATACGCGGGCCAATTTGTTTGTATATTCTACTTATAAGTAGGGAGCCAATTTAGTGTAGTGGATAAGGCACCAGACTAGAAACCAGGAGACCATGAGTTCTAGTCCTTCTCTCTCAGCCCTAAGGAAGTAATGGCAAACTACTTCTGAAAAACATTGCCAATAAAACTGGAGAGATTTGTCCAGGCAATTACCAGGAATCAAAAATCAACTCTCACACAAATATACCCAGGAAACAACAAAAAATCTAACAAACCACATCTTTATATTTGTACATGTCAAAAGCACCTACAGCATTCCCTTATTTAGGCTAATTATAGCTATGCAACACTTTCAGAATGCTTCAATAAAGAACGAAGCAAAGCAAGTTGGAATTTTCAGTTTGAAGATCAAAGTTCAGGTAGTCCTGGACTTCCAACCACTTGTTTAGTGAGTGTTCAAAGTTATGAGACTGAAAAAAATTGGCTTACAACCTGTCCTCAATATGACCACTGTGGCATTCCCATGGTCAAATGACCAAAATTTTGCTGCTTGGCAACTGGTATGTATTTATGACATTTGCAATGTCCCAGGGTCACATGATCGCTATTTGCAATTTTTCCAGATGACTTCTGACAAGCAGTCAATGGGGAAACCCAGGTGCCCTTAACTATGTGATTCACTTAACTACTGTGATCATTTGCTTAATAGCCACAGTAGAAAAAGGTCATAAAATTTTGTGCGACTTATATAACCGCCTTGCTTAGCAACAGAATTTCTAGTCCCAATTGGGGTCATAAGTAGACGACTCCCTGTATCATATCCATGTTGATTTATGTTGCTTATTTTACAGTCTTTTGCAGGGCTTGTCCTAAGAAAGCTTTTCAGTGAAAACAGAGGGACGAACAGAGGAAAAAATGAGAATAACGGAAGAAAACTCCCACAACACTCAACCAATTCTTGAATTAACTTCCATCACTCACTGAAGTACATCCAGGGATTTGGGTTATGTAGCAACATGAGCTTGGGCACCCTTATTCTGAAAAGCCCAACTACTTCAATTGCATACTGTATTCTTGTAGCTGAAAAATTATCTCATGTACAGAACCAATGGTTCATTTTGGTCTGTTGTGTCATATGGCACAGCAAGGCTTAATAAAGAACACTTCCTTGTTATTAAAGCAATAGAGATCCAAATTCTAAAAAAAGTCAGTTAATATTAAAAAAAATACTGTATTATGATTGGTATTAATTCAATATGATTGGAATTTCTGCTATACAAGTGTTTCATTCTTGACAGCTGCACATCCTCTTGAGAATTTTTTGAAATGACAGCTCCAGACGATTCATTCACAGATGACTAGATTCAATTGAAAATATATTTTGTCAAAAATTAGCTCCCGAAGCAACATATACTGTATCTCACCCATGCACATTAGCATTTGTTCCTAAGGATGCTTGTTAAAATACAAATTTAATTTAGAACAATGCATTGGAACTCGAAAGCTGCCAAGAATTTGGTACAAGATAGGGAGCCTAGATAAATGCTTTAAATAAATAAATAAATACACTTCTAATGTAACAGGGAGTGTGTGACTTTTAAACTATAAGTGTAAGTTTGATTTTATGCAATGTTATTTAAAAAATAACAATGGAACCAAATGACAAAATGTAAAATGTATTAGCATGTTGTGTTTAAATGCTAAATAGAAGTAAAGGGATTATTTGGATGGGGGACACAGTTAAGTGATCCCTTTGGAGAGTTGTTGCTCTACATATAATTATTCATCTTTTCTGAAATGTCTATTTGTGCATAGAACAATGATGCAATTTTCATACTTCACTCACACACTGCACTGGTCAGTTCAGGCAATATGAGTGCAATGTCTGTCTCTACAGCAGTGTAATCTATATTTGCTTTCATATTATTTTATGTTACATTTTGCAATTTCCCATTCCTATATGGCAGACTTTGGACACCAAAAAAATTCAGGCAGAAAATGTTTAGTAAAATTAGAACAGCAGTTTAATATTGGTTTAAGAAAGACTGGTATAACATGGTTTGGATTTATAAGTATCCTAAAAAAAATTAACACTGACCATCAGGAATATATAATCTTAAGGAATAAATAATCTTTATTGCCTTGTTATAGCATTTTTATAGCATTTTCAGAATAGCAGAATAATTTCTACTCTGATTTTGCAATTATCTAATTCCTGGGTACAAGAGTTTTGTAATCGACTGCACAAAACTTAAGCAACAGCCATTTGGTATTAATTTGTGAAAAATTAGCCCTATTGCTAAAGATTTCTTATGCTATATAAAAAGCAAAATTAACTTCAATAGGAAAGCAAAAAAGGTGGATAATCTTTGTTCTCTGAATAATGTACTATAGGCCTTAGCAATCAAAGCATTGCTTGAAAAATTAGTCACTGATTTCACTAGTCAGTCTACTCTAATTTTCATTAAACATTCCTAATCAGAGAAATATTCATCACAGCCTGCCTTACAGCAACTAAAACATGTTACTTTAAGAACAAAATTTTCCCAAATGATTTTTTTCATAAAAATATAACATAAATTTCATAAAAATTATATAGCAGATAAATGTAACATTAATTATCTAATGATAATTATAATCACATACACAGAAGCATTGAATGCTTCTAAGTGTTGGACTACTTGAAGGTGCTTTCCAAAAACTGTGCGATTCCTCTTCCACTTCTAGGGATGGGTGTATGCATCGTTTTCACTCCTGAAGGAATTACACCTTTAAAAAATGCACTGCTGTCAATATATAAACTACATTGCTTTACACCAGGGGTCAAACTCACATCGTCATGGCAGCTAAACTGGGTGTGGGTGTGGCCAGCATGTGACCCATCCGGCCCGTGGGCCAGGAGTTTGACAGCCCTGCTTTACACAGAATTACAAAGAACTTATATTTATACAAATTTAACACACATACATACTCCACATACTCATCCATCACAATTGAAAATAAGTAAGCATAGGAAATAAAAAGAACCTCTATTCCACAAAACTTTAGCAGATAAGGAATGGAATTTTTTTTTCCCAAAATGGACAGATAAGAAAATACACTAAAATTGTTCAGTTCTTGTGATGATATAGACACAGCTATTACGTTTTCTTGGAAATGGCTTACCACTGGCTTCTTCCAGAATGAGTTGCAATTTTCTCACTTAGCTATCTGACTTGTGTTTCCTATAGTCCAATAGTTTCCTATAGTCCAAATACTAACCAAACCTGACCCAATTAATTTCCTAGCAGAGACAAAACTGGCTAAATGCTATCTTGAAGCTAAAGCTAATATAACCACATTGGGTAACTGAACTTCAAACAGTTATATTTAGAATTATTAGGAATTATTGTAATATTTTTATTTGTTCAAGAAATAGCAAGTTTAGCTGAGGTGCCAGTAAATACAATTGGTCAACAATACAATATACTTATTTGTGATTGAGTACAGCTAGTCTGTGTTCCCAACCATGGGAACGGAGGGGAGAAGGTAGTTTCTCAGATTTCTCTGAAAATGCAGCTATTATGGTAATGCCAAAGAATGAAGCAGGAAGCAGTTTACTTTAACACCTTTTGCCAGAACAGTACCAACAACTGCTTACATTTTCTTCCAAAGAAAAAGACTAGAAATGCACAACCTATACCTCCCTCAAAGCCTTCCAAATGTCTGACCTTCTAAAAATTTACAACCATACTACATGATTTAAATAATGTTAATTAAATAATTATGTTAAATAATTATCAGGAATTAACTATAATTTAATTTAGTTATTTTTCAAACTTTTAGCAACTAGAATAATTTTATTATTTGTATTAACCCTGCCCAATTTAAGCTTTAGTAGATAAAGCTTATTAAATCCTGACATACTTAAGAATACAGGTGAAATTCAAAAAATTAGAATATCGTGCAAAAGTTCATTTATTTCAGTAATGCAACTTAAAAGGTATAAGATAGTCTCATTACATGCAAAGCGAGATAGTTCAAGCCTTGATTTGTCATAATTTTGATGATTATGGCTTACAGCTCATGAAAACCCCAAATTCACAATCTCAGAAAATTAGAATATTACATGGAATCAATAAAACAAGGATTGTACGTAGAACAATATCGGACCTCTGAAAAGTATAAGCATGCATATGTACTCAGTATTTGGTTTGGGCCTCTTTTGCATCAATTACTGCCTCAATGCGGCGTGGCACGGATGCTATCAGCCTGTGGCACCGCTGAGGTGTTATGGAAGACCAAGATGCTTCAATAGCGGCCTTCAGCTTTGCTGCATTGTTCGGTCTCATGTCTCTCATCTTTCTCTTGGCAATGCCCCATAGATTCTCTATGGGGTTCAGGTCAGGCGAGTTTGCTGACCAATCAAGCACAGTAATCCCATGGTCATTGAACCAGGTTTTGGTACTTTTGGCAGTGTGAGCAGGTGTCAAGTCCTGCTGGAAAATGAAGTCAGCATCCCATAAAGCTCGTCTGCGGAAGGAAGCATGAAGTGCTCCAAAATCTCCTGGTAGACAGCTGCGTTGATCCTGACTTAATGAAGCACAGTGGACCAACACCAGCAGATGACATAGCTCCCCAAATCAACACAGACCGTGGAAACTTCACACTGGACTTCAAGAATCTTGCAGTGTGTGGCTCTCCATTCTTCCTCCAGATTCTGGGTCCTTGGTTTCCAAATGAGATGCAAAAGTTGCTCTCATCAGAAAAGAGAACTTTGGACCACTGAGCAACAGATCAGTTCTTTTTTTCTTTAGCCCAGGTAAGATGCTTTTGACATTGTTTGTTGTTCAGGAGCGGCTTGACAAGAGGAATACGACATTTGAAGCCCATGTCCAGGATCAGTCTGTGTGTGGTGGCTCTTGATGCACTGACTCCAGCCTCAGTCCATTCCTTGTGAAAGTCCCCAACACTTTTGAATGGCCTTTTCCTGACAATCCTCTCCAGGCTGCGGTCATCCCTACTGCTTGTGCACCGTTTTCTTCCACATTTCCCCCTTCCACATAACTTCCTATTAATGTGCTTTGATACAGCACTTTGGGAACATCCAACTTCTTTTGCAATTACCTTTTGAGGCTTTCCCTCCTTATGGAGGTCAATGATGGTTGTCTGCACAACTGTCAAGTCAGCAGTCTTTGCCATGATTGTGATTCCTACTGAACCAGACTGAGAGACAATTTAAAGGCTCAGGAACCCTTTGCAGGTGTCATGGCTTAATTAGCTGATTAGAGTGGGACACTTTGAGCCTAGAATATTGAACCTTTTCACAATATTCTAATTTTCTGAGATTGTGAATTTGGGGTTTTCATGAGCTGTAAGCCATAATCATACAAATTATGACAAATCAAGGCTTGAACCTTCTCACTTTGCATGTAATGAGTCTATATATTAGTTTCACCTTTTAAGTTGCATTACTGAAATAAATGAACTTTTGCACAATATTCTAATTTTTCGAGTTTCACCTGTATACTTCAATTAGGATACATTTTATTAGATTTCAATCAGTTTTTTTTAAGGAGTAGTATGTTATCCTCACATCTGAAGATGCAAAATAAATCTCTACTTACCACTACAAGGTGTGGCATCATGATCCTTATTAAGTGATCTGAAATAACTATCATTTCCAGTGCTTTCGACTTTCCCTTTCTGCAATTCAAACACAAGATCACCAATATATATGCATGCTATAAAGAGACTGAAATTTGCAAGCTTTCCCTTTCCTACCTCATTCACTAGGTCTTCAAGGTATTTTTGCAAAGAAAGGCAAAGTGGATTTAATAGTTAAGGAACTTCAGTATGCCAACAACCAAAACCATTAACCTACTTTCGAACTGATATCTTGAAATGCATATTTTCCAAAACAACTTATTGTACTATTAGTAGTAAAACATTTTGAAATAATTATTAGAAGTAGAAACATAAATAACATATCTTCAAATACTAAAACTCAACAGAGTCTACAAAAGATATAATACCAAAGTTCATGAAACTTTGAACTTTCAATATTGTGAAACAATATTCACTTTTCCGTAGACCATTTTTCCAAAGTTGAAAGGTTCAACAAAACATTTTTTATGGTGAACTTCAGTCAAGTGGCAATACTGTTAATGAGTGATGGCTTCTGCCTTCCTATTTTCCCATGAATCCTATCTTTACCCAGTGGTTTACTGAGAATGGAGTGATGACACAGAATTTACCCAAAATAAAAGTCGCCTGGAGTTCCCTGGTGTTTTTCTGAGGTTTTCTGTGATTTATTGGACAATTTTAAGCAGCACTCATAAAGTTATATCACAGGATGACATTTCAAAATAGTATATTAACACTATAGTTAACATTATAGTTAACAGTATATTATCTGCAACCAAGCACAGAGAACACTAAGAACTCAACACTTTAATCCAGAGTTATATATAATCTGTAGATTATCTCTACAGAGTTGAAAATCATATGCTTCTGAAATCTTCTCGTTAACAACTTCACTGTAACTAGGCAAAGGAAATATGAGATTCATAAAGGACATAGCTGTCCCAAATTAGTCCTGATTGTTTAATGAAGTGTTCACAACAATTGGCCATAGATTGTTTTAAACGAATTGCTTGAACAGGGGGGATACTGGATCATTTTATGAAATGAATGAAAGAACCAAACTTTGATATTATTTGTTAATTAAGACTCGCTTTATATATTAGCAGGACCCCATATGAAGCGCTGATAACTTCCAATGGAAAACATGAAGAAATTGAGAAATTTCAAAGGGGGAAAATACTTGGCTGAAGACTTTACAGTACGACTTTAAAGCATAACCTCAACAATCACGCTCTTTCTCATTATGTCTCTCTCACACACTCACACCACACATTCCAATAAAATAAGCAGTATAACAGAAGAAAGAAAAACAGTTAAATTAGAAAACTGACCTGGAAGCGTCCAGCATCCAGCACTATCATCTTAGGGTTTGTTATGCTCTTGCAGTTCTTCTCAGTTAGTGGTAAATGAGATGCAGTTAATTGGATTTCATACATATTTGCTAGAGAATTGCTGATGCAGTATCTAAATTGAATAGCAAAAGCACATATTGAGACAAACTGTGTCACTGTCATGGCTGAAGAGAAATCCACATGTAATTAATATAAATAATATGACCTGTACCAAGATGGCATCTAACCAGAAATAAATCCAAGTAATTTTGTCTGACATGGTCTGCAAACTCCTACACGTAGCCCTGTAGCTGCACCCGAGTTCAACTCTAAGAAATCTTATCTAGAATAACATTTGGCTAAATAGATAGAGATTCAAGGGCTCAATTTATCTGAAGGATACTCAGATAATACTTTTTATAGCAATCAGAAATACATTTCATAATATACACTTACACACATTACACTTATATATATAAATTCACGAAGTGTTTAACTAAAAAGAAAGAAAGCAATCAGGATGCCACAAATTATAGATATATCCTCTTACTTAACATTTAACATTACTGATAATAGAAACCTAGCAGTTGACTAGCACTTTACATTTGGAAATTTAAGATTAAAAACCTTGGGTAGAATTTAGCAACAAAGTTTTGTTCACACAACGTTTTTGAATCCTCTCTTCCTTCTTGTGCTCCCACATCCTCTCAAAATCTGCTCTAGGGATTTGAAAGCATCGAGAAGTCAAATTCCATCACTAGGAATGATTCCCTGAATCATAGCATTGGTTTTATTTAGATTAACTTAAAATATATTCTTTCTATAATATCACCAACAATATAAAAATAGCAGAACCTTAAGATAATTGCTGATTGTCATAAAAGTCCACAAATTATTTGCAAAATAACCGCAGACACCACACAGCTAACATGCTATTCCAGAAGTAGTTTTTTTTTTCTTCTTCCATTCAATTGTGTCTGATTGTTAGAGACTGCTTGGATAAGTTCCTACAGTTTTCTTGGCAAGATTTTTCAGATATGGTTTGCCATTGCCTTCTTCCAAGGGCTGAAAGAATGTGATTGGGCCAAGGTGTGTAAGGTAGAACTAGAACACACAATCGCTCAGTTTCTAGCTTGTTTCCTTAACTAGTATACTGAACACCTTTTTATTTTTAATCAAAGTGCAAAAGCTTTATAGAAAGTAAATGTATACTTACGCAATTTTCTTGCATGTAGCAAGAGCACAGAATACAATATCATTTTTTTCATGCCACTGACACCTAAACAAATGCCATATTTTCATAATGAATCCAGAATTTCAAATACACATCAATAAAACAGAATTTGAAATGTTAAAAAATTAATATTGTCGAGCTAATGCATGGGTATCAACACCTTTTCAGTACAGGGTAGTCTTGCAATTTTCTATTTTACATAGTTCAAGATTTTTAAACATTTTCAAAAGCATCTCAAAAGTCTAGGTCTTTAAAATGCCAGAGTGCTAAAATCAAATCTATTTTCGTTAATCCCAATATTTTGTGCATCAAAACATGAAACTTGCTAAAAAAGTAAATTTAAAATATACATGTATACATATTTTACACATACACAATATCTAAGTATTGCAGTTCTGTTGAAAAAATAACTAAAGCAACTCTCACTGTAATTATTAGTTGTTCACTCTATGTATAACATTCTATGTATAATTTGCAACTGTTTAGCGGATTAAAACATACTCGTTTTGACTGTTTTGTTAAATCCCTTAAACCACTCCTTTCCAAACTTTTTTTTTCATTATCCAAAATCACTTATCAGAAAGTCCTATCATACTTCAAAAACTGATAGTAAGTACTTTCTCTGAGCATTGTCATAACTTTGAACAGTTGTTAAATGAATAGTTGTTAATTTGAGGATAACCTGAATCATTAAAAACAATATTACTGAATGATCTTTACATTATTTTAACAAATCACCATTGATAATTTCATTGATTTTCATCTTAATAGGAATACTTTGGGAGAATTTTCTAATATATTTTAGTCCATGTTGCAATCTTTACGTCAAGTTAAATATGCCTGTTATGATGGGTAATAAGTTGTTGCTACCTAAAGAAAAACTATTTTTACCCAATTTGAGGTAATTTCCCCAGATTTCGGAAGCACTGCCTTAAACAGAGACAGTGCTTTTGCCCAGAGAAATTTAGGTCCTGTACTTCACTACTAGACTTTTTTACCCAATTCCAGTCATGAATACAAGTAATTCTTGGGTTACAACTTCTGTCGGTAAGTGAAGCAGTTAAGTAAAACATCACATGAGAGGGCTACTTACTAACAGCAGTCCTGGATATGGTCTGCGACTGGCACTAGGGCCTTGTTGAAGACTGTTTATTATTGGTTGAGAATAATCGAGATGGAGGAAGGGAGGTTACCAAAATTAGCGCTAATGGAGCAGATTATCTCAAGTAATAAAAATAACTGGTTATCAAGAGTTCTGAAGCAGGTATCTAGCTCTGGTATCCCTTTAAATTGGCAACAGTACGACTATAGGCAGATCCGAAATTGGATTGCACAGAGATTTAAGGACATAAGTGCCCAATCGGATATTGCACAGGTGACAGCAGTAAAAGTTTGCCCCTGGTTATCAGCCAATAAACAAATCTTCAAAATAGAAAAATATTTAGCTGTGCCTTTGTTTCCCGTCCTGAGAAGATTCTTTACAAAACTGAGGTTGGACCAACTTGGAACAAATATGCTCTGGGGTAGATATAAGGGTATTCCTGTAAGGGAAAGGGTCTGTCTATGTGGGACGGGGGAAGTCGAAACAACGTCCCACGTAATTTTTGATTGCCCCCTATATTCAGACCTGAGGGAACATCAACTGGGCAGGATCTTTTATACCAGCACCCCTAAGTCTAAAGAGCACTTTTTGCGATATTGTTTGTTAGGTTCCAACTTGCAGTTGGTAAAATGGATTGCTAAATTTGTGGTAAAGTTGATGGGAAGGAGGACAAAGTTGGTGCAGCAAAATGCGGTAGATTGTAAGAATGATCACTTGATCTAACAATGTAATTTTAAGAGCAGTTAACACTGATTGGGTAGATGCAGGGGTGACATTACAATATAAATTTAATTATATTTAAATGGTACTTTAAATTATTGTATTTTATCCCGATTTTATTTTAGATCGTATTTTATTCTAATTGTATTTTAATTGCGAGTTATTCCAATCTTACTTAATTTGTTTTACCAAACCTTTGTAATGATTTGTCTTTGTAATTCTGCACTTGATATGGCCCAAAGGGCTAATCAATAAATAAAATTGAATTGATATGGTTGTTAGGCAAGGATCTCACACTTTTCCCTGCCCTGCATGGACTGCCTCTCCATTTCAACTTTTCCACCAACCTATCTCCTTCCCCATATCTGCCATTTTTTAGTCTTTAAAGCACGGTGGGCGCAGTGATTAGAATGCAGTACTGCAGGCTACTTCTGCTGACTGCCTGCCAGTTCAAATTTCACCAGGCTCAAGGTTGACTCAGCCTTTCATCCCGCCAGGGTGGGTAAAATGAGGACTCAAATTTTGGGGACAATATGCTGACTCTGTAAACCGCTTAGAGAGGGCTGTAAAGCACTATAAAGCAGTATATAAGTCTAAGTGCTATTCCTATTAAACATCTGATTAAATCATAGAATACAAAAATATAAGATGATAGGCACTGTATTCTGCCACCTATCTGCTGCTGCTCTTCCCCATTGCCCCAAGTAACCTTGGTCTACTTTGCCTCCACTGGACTCTGCCAGCTTTCATACAGTGGGCACTGGATTCAATTCTCCCACACCCTGTCACCTTGGTTTCAGGGCTCCTGGTAGGCCTGCCAGGTATCCGCAATCTTATCTGGTCACTATCCTAGGGGCTCTACATGCTCTGCACAAAGTTCTATTGCTGCCCTGCACAAAAGAGGAAGCTATCTAGAGAGCAGCTCTCTGGATCCTACTGCACACCAGGACAGGACTACAAGTTCTCCATGCCACTGCTGGCCTGGATGATTCTTCTGATGAAACAGGGTAAGTCCACTAGGACCTGGCAGTTAGGCAGTCACTGCAATGCATGACTGATAGAGGCCACATGCAGAAGATCTTGAGGCTGGTTGGTGTTGATGAGTCCAGCAGAGGAGAGGCAAAGCAAAGACAACAACAAAGGTCAGCTGGGGACAGAGGGGATGGCAGCAGAGAGGCAACAGCAGAAGTGGCTTCTTCAGCTCAGTTGTGCTATATAGGGCAGCCAAAGAAACAGAGATATTGGGGGGGGGGGGGGGGGGGGGGGGGGGGAACTGAAGTGGGCAGGGAAGGAGGAAATGAATGTGGGGTACTGCAGTAGTCATAAATGCATGCTGGTCGCCAAGCAATTATCACATGTCAGTGTAGTATCTTTGGAAACCTTAACCATCAAGTATTAAATTCAATTACTTGAAGTAAGATTTTTTTCCCTCTCTGGTCATAGGAATTATGCATCCCTTCATAATTTTAAAAGTACTATATTCCCCTGCTAATGGTTTTGTATATTCTGAGACAGGGGTGAAATGCTCTCGGTTCGGACCAGATCGCCTGATCCAGTAGCGATAGTGGCGGGTGGTTCGGAGAACTGGAAGCAAAAATCCCTGCCCCCCCCCATGCCCAGCTGAGCCGCACAATCATCAGAGGCTTTTTTTTTTACTTTTAAAAGCATTTTTTCTACAACCTCTTTGGCCAAAAAAATGCTTTTAAAAGTTAAAAAAAAAAGCCTCTGATGATCGCGCGGCTCAGCTGGGATCGTCAAAGACTTTTAAAAGAAAAAACCCTTTTTTTCTTTTAAATGCCTCTGACGATCCAAGCTGACTTGCCTGATCGGCAGAGGTTTTTTAAAAAAGCCTCTGCTGGTCAGGCAACTCAGCTGGGATCGTCAGAGCCTTTTGAAAGCATTTTTTTTACAACCTCTTCGCCAAATTCGTTGTAAAAAAATGGTTTTAAAAGAAAAAAGAAAAGCCATGCCCACACAGTCACATTTACCCCACCACCACCAAGCCACGCCCACAGAACCAGTAGTAACAAATTCTAGATTTCACCACTGTTCTGGGTGTTTCAGGATACAAACTGAAGTAATTATTTCTATGAACATTATGCAGTAAGATAAAGAACCATCCAAACTAAATTAAAGTGTAATTTGAAAAAAAATGTTATTTATAGTAGATAAAACATTGCTAAACAGAGATGTACAAGTTTATAGCTTTTTCGGAATGTAGAAAAAAAAGGGAGAAGATTAAAAACATACCTAGTATTTCCTGAGTAATCCCACATGGAAGCATCCAGTATGTTACACACCCAAGTTTTAGAAGGTTCTTTTTGAAGTTTTTTATAATACAGCTCCACAACAAGATCCTCCACATTTAAAAGCTGTAGATGATTGACGCTGCCTATTAGGAAAATAAATTTCAACATCAAGAATATTACAAAATATTTGTTAACAATATTTTCTCTATTATAAAGGTAGCAGATTTCTTACCTGTTTCTTTAGCCATATATTTTAGGCACCAGTTAACTCTGAAGTGATCATCAGACTACAAAAATAAAAATTTGGAATTAAATATTTTTTTATTCAGTACATAGATACTGACGAGAAACAGAAGTACATGCTTTCTCTTAAAATGTCTTAAATCTATTATGGCTCTAATTTACTTAATTAGATCACCTTCACAATAACATTAATTAAAATGTCATTTGATGCATTCTTTACATATGGATCAACAGCCACAAAATCTCCAAACAGCAATACAAATAATTATGTACAATATAGAAATAGTAATGTATAAACTACTAATGGATTGCACAAACTAACTGTTCAAAATCATGGAATAAGTTATTAGAATGATTGGCTTCTTATGCCTTTGTCAACTAATTTTTAACAGGATTTAATTATTTTTGCCTATTTGAAAATTTTATAATTTTAACTTAACATTTCAATTTTATATAGTGTTTTATATTTTGATTCTTTACTGTACACTTTGAGGAAGATGGACAGTGCAGAAATGTAAAATATAAAGACAGACAAGATGGATAGATACCGGTACATGAACTTAAATGGAAACTATTTTGATACCTACGTGAGTCTTTTAATAATAGTGGGTCAAATATTGGAGATGTAGTGGTCAAAATTTGACCTTAGTTTACATGAGGTTAGCAAGGCTTAGAATAGTTTAATAATGGTAGAAAGATTAGACACCTATCTACTCTTAAATGTTTGAGGAACAAGATAGCCAAGGATTTTTTTTAACACTGAAGGCTCAGATTAGATGAATAACTGATCAAATGCCTTTTAATTAATAAATGTAAGCAAAAGGTTTTATCCCTGTGGCTGAATTCCTCTATGTGGAAACATATTTGGATGGATATTCTTATTCAATTACTTCTCAGAAATTTGAATGTCAAGTCAATGTACCTTACAATGTACAGATGGCCAGTTGCCCCTTTGTGGTTTGATGAACTCATATAGGTCATGCAACACAACTGAGTAACTTGCAGTTGCAATATCAAAACCAGATATGGGAATTTTATGGGTAGCATCACCTAAGGGAACATTTGAAATATTTTAAGATACAAGTATCATTCGTACATATTCTAATCTTAACTATACTTATAGATTGCAAGACCTATATATCAGTTCTATGATGAAAGCTCAAGTATCTTAATTTGATTTTTATTAAAATCATTTAGATTCAATAAGAACAAAACTAATCTCATAAACAAGTAAAAATGTTTATCATAAATGTAGAATAAAATGTCCTGATATAAGGCATATTTTTGAAATAAGGATTTTCTAAAAGTTGAACTCTGCTATATTATTGATTTAAAGTACTATCCATAAACACTGTTTGCTTTATCATTCAGGAGAAAATTCTAGCTTGAATTTTACTGAAAAATGTAATATGCAATGTTCAATCAATTCTGTAAATCAGATGATACAAGTGGCACAATAAGTGCTAAAAAAAACTAAATGAAAGTTTTAAAAAAGATATATAATTGTGAAATTGCTGAAGTTTCTTAACAAAAGCATGCTACACAGAATAAGTTATATAGGTAAAATCAAACGTTTCAGAAAATTTGATACAATACCCAACTGTGATGAGGAAAAAAATGAGTAAAAATTTACTCAAATTTATTGAGTAAATCTTTGTTTCAGCTTTTGTGCAATATTCACCTGCAGCCTGGCAATGAAACCGAAATCCCCGTGGTACTTCTCCTGCAGAATGCCAAAAATCAAACAAAATACATTCATTGACTTTGTGTAATGCAAAATTGTTACCCGAATACCTATAATTTACTGTCCTTCTTTCAGTGTCATTGTTAACTTCTTGTGGTAGCTGAATGAGAACTACCTAATTTCTCTTGAAAGACATTAGCCAGATTTAAGAGATAATAAATAAATTAAGATCATAGAAAATTTGCACTGCCAAAATACTTTTTTCTTGACAACCTAATGTTTATTAGATCATGATTGATTCATCACTAATAATACTGTCAAACCTATTTGGCCATTAGAATTTTTATTTTTTTTTTTAGTATGTAGGAATTATTAAATCAGATTGCTTAACCAAACTGAAACCTACTTATTTTAGAATGCCCCTTCTACTGTCAGACAAATTGGAACAAATTCAGTCTCCGCTTTTTCCAACTCACCAGGATTTATAAAATGATGAAATTCTGCAATTATGCCATCCTTAAGTGAATATTTGATACACCCAATTTCACAAGGGAGGAAACGCTTATTGCAGTGAGGGGGCAACATTCCATGACTGAAGATATTCAGAAAGTAGAAGGAAGTTTCGAGCACATCTGAAAAAATTATTTGAATCAAATTAGCAATATATTTTATTATGTGATTAATATTTAATACTAATATATGTATAGTTGCTTCTAGATGATATGGTTGGCACATTAATAAATAAAATAAATTTTAACATAAAACATTTCAGTATATTTAAAAGCTTTTAAAATACTTGATATAGGATTTTAGCTTTCCCTTTAGAAAACTGAATATTGTCTGCATTTCATTGACTAAAATCCTGGTTTATTGCCCTAGCTATTCAAGTTACATTTCGTATTGTTTCTCAATCTCTGCCCTTCTATTAAAATTCTTAAAACATTTAAATGTTAAAACAAAACAATGTAAAACCACAAATAATATGAAATGATTTATAATTAAAAATAGTTCATGGATTTAATCTGTCATGTAAATAAGGATTAAACAGTTACCAATCAATGTAAACAAAAACACAAAGTCAAAATTACTTATTTCAATACTAATTACGATTTGTTCAAACTCATTTAATAGCAATTATCCCATCAGCTCAATAGTTTTACTTGACCTATCCTATAATCAGGCCTCTTTTATTCTAAGCATGCTACTACATTTCTTGAACACTAAAGCCTTACTTTAACTGGTCAAGAGATGGATTATCTTTAAACTATACTTTACCTTGTTCATACTTAAATGGGCTTGTAAGGTTTGTAACAGGAATCATATCCTGACTTTGAGTAGGAAACGGTACTGGGACTTCTCTACGTGGCTAAAAAAAAATTCATTCATATTTACCAAATCAAGAAAAAACATATATACAATGTTCCCTTCTAGGCACAGTGCTGTTTGATTTGACAATATACAGAGAAACATATTGATTGATTGATTGATTGATTGATTGCGATTTATATGCCGCCTTTCTCCCTAGGGACTCAAGGCGGCTTACAAAATGACAACTTCAATACAAATCACAATACAATATAAAATTAAAATCAATAACCTAGTTAAAAAACGATTTAAAATTATACCAGTGTACCCCCAAACGGATCAGTTTAATTGGCGGAAGAGCCACGTCTTCAGCTCGCGGCGGAAGGAAAGAAGGTCGGGGGCTGTCCTGAGCTCAGTGGGCAATCCATTCCAGAGGGTCGGGGCTCCCACAGAGAACGCCCTCCCCCTGGGGGTCGTCAGCCAACATTGTTTGGCCGACGGCACCCTGAGGGTGAGAGTGCACAGGACGATGGGAGAACGGCTGGAGAGGTCCTGCAAGTACCCCGGGCCTAAGCCATGAAGGGCTTTACAGGTGAGCACCAGCACCTTGAAACGTATCCGGAGTGCCACCGGTAGCCAGTGTAGCTCACGCAGGACTGACTGAGCTTATGCCATGATACACACTACACAGAACTATAAGAAAACCCTCAACTTCCAAACATTTAAGTGATGGTTCAAACTTATGTTAGCAATAAATGAAGGGATATAGGACCTCTGCCTGAAGTTTACAGCTGCTCAAGCGCCGTCACAGTCACATGAACAAAATCTAAGTGTTTGGCAACTGATCCAACTGATTACGACAGACTGCAGACTATCTTCCTCCATCCTGCCTTGGGCCTGTTTTCTACACTGGTGGGTCTCACACCTTTCTTCCCACCATGGCTTGGCACTTAATTTTTTCTCTATAATTCCTTCAGGAAGCAGCTGATCCATTGTGTGGTCTTCCTACATGGAGGCTGTTTGATGCCATCCCAGAAGACAGCGCCATTTTGGAGAATTCAGGAGATAAACTTCAGAATAAGGAGGTGACTGCTCTATTCCTTGGCCTCCCTATATAGTACCGAGGCCATGGGGCAGAGCTGAGAAACTGGCACCATTTCAGAGTGGCCATAATTCATTGCAGCTAGACCCAACAAGGTGGGAAGGCCTGTGTGGACTCAATGGGGTGGGAAAGCAGGCCCAAGGTAAGCAGAGCATGAGTGCATTAGGATGGGTGACGCCCTAGGAGGCAACATATGATCCAAAGAAGTACAACAACGGGATACTGGACTAGGCCTCTGCCACTAAAGCACCACATGTTCCTCTTAGCAGCCCACGTTCGCTTAATTACAAGGAGAGCAGGAACTGGGATCATTAAGTGAGATGACTACAGGGTCACCTGATTTAACAACCATCATGACTTTTGATTGTTAACAGCCAGGCTCTGTTATGGTTATAAATCAAGAACTATGGGTATATGTAATTGTCATTCATGGGAATGAATAGCGTATATGTACATGGGTGCGTGTGTGTATACACACACACATATAGACAGAGAATATATATGTGAATGCAGATAACAGTAGCATTATTTAATTTATTATGTGTAGATAATAATACCTTCATAACGCAACACAGCTGATACTCATTAAGAAAGCTGGACAGCTCACTAAAATGAATTAAGTTTCTAGAAACATTGCTTTAAGCTACATATCCTATGCTATCAGAATAGTAGCCATGCCATTTTCCTTTCCTCGGTTGAGCAAAAAAGTCTTTAGGAATGGGAGGACAGTAAAATCTCTACTTTTAGATTTTTTCTTCTATTCTTGTAAATCTGAATATCCTTGCAAGGCCTAGAAGTAATTATAGCGCACATTTACTGTACTAGAAACCTTGCTATGTAACTTCCCTTCTATTTTTAATAGCATAGCAAGGGAAAATGCAATGTATAAACATGACATTAAGGCTCTAATAATGTGAAAGATGGAAAGAAGAAAATTACAAGCAGCAAGGTGGATGGGCTCCATTACAGTGGTAATAGGTGCATTATTTGAGAGACTTGAAAAAACGGTTATGGATAGATTATCATAGAGAAAATTTATGTGGTTATCAGGCATCAAAAACAATTTTGATAGCACATAATCATAGGCTGCTAAATAATCAATCTCCGTAGCTATCTTCATATTTTTATAAGATTTAATCTACTATTTGAGATAAATCTAGACCAATCTGCTTGCCATTACAAACATGGGGGAAAATGTAGAATCCATCCAACTAAAACTTTTACTCGGTACCTTTCTCTACATACCTACAGGTAATTTTTATTACTTATTCCCCAATTTAAACTCAATTGTGCTTGAAAATAATTGTATTTACAGGCTTAAAATATTTCATTCTTCTATTTACCTTTTCTGCTACTTCTGACTTAGTAGTTTTCCACTGACGAGCCATTTCTGCATACTTTTCTTTTTGCTCTTCATTAAGTAGCTTAGGAGTAAAAACAATTACATAAATCCTTGCATTATTTTCTCAATGTTTTTTTGCCAAATCATCCACTTTCTTAATCCAACAGGTTGTTTTTTGGCAGTACTCATTAGGGAAAGTCAAACATGCTAACATTCAGTGTAGTCAAATGTTAGAGTAGGTTTAGTAACTTCAATATGGTGCTCTTTCTCAAGTGTTATGTAATAGATCAATGCATCTTATTCTGAATAAATACTGTCAGTGGAAGGCTGAAACATCATTCCAACTGTAGTTATTTTAAGAGTAATGTATCTTGTTTTTAGAACCAAAACTGAGTAGGAAACAGTTTTTGTACAGTAGTTAGTGCTGCCTAGAAATACAAAACCAGAGTTTTTGTCTTTCCTTAGGCATGAAAGCTTTTGGATGATTTTGGGCCAGTCACATCCTCTCAATGCCTGCCAGGATAGCTCCTTTGGGGAAAACAGGAAGAGGGCAGAGTATTAGGTTTGTTGACTGCCTTGAGGTTTTATAAAATAATGAGGGGAGGATAAAAATCTAATAAAATAAAATTCTACTTTATAATAGTGTAATTGCTATTGCTAACATTAAAATTCTAGCAATGCAGAAATATTTGGGAAGCAAATCTTGCTCAAGTTGCAAAACAATTTTGCCAGTTCCATCAGCATGGCTGAATGCCAGGAAATTAGTGCTTGGAAACGTCTCCACAGATCAGTTCTGTTGTGTAAAGAGTTTTAAGCACTGGGTCCGAATTTTGCAGCTTTCTTCAGCAAGGCTTGGAAAGCAGCAAAGAACATAACATGTCTTAAATTCAGGAAGAAACCATTTTTAGCGAACGAGCACGAAGCTCATTCGCCGTTTCAAAAAGACTTTGTAACTATGGCTACGAGATCTCAGCTGCAAAAAAAATCTAAAGAAAACCGTCATCAACTACCGGCCTGATTTTTGCCGTCCAGATCCGACGGCTTTATTCTGTCTTAATCCTGCAACCTCTATTTGCCTCACTTTAAAGCGTCTTCCAGCGTTATCCAAAAAAAATCATAGTGGCCACATAAAGGTTTCCTAGTATTATACTAGGAAGGGTCGGACTACGTTATAAGACGCTATACATAACAAGTAAGGAAATATCAGGTCAGGTCCTTGCAAGTTGAGGGGTGGCCGTTCCCAGGACTTTTCTCTTCAGGTCCCAAGACCGAAAGAGATGGCGCGGCCACGCTCCCTCACCGCCCAGGCATCGGAGCAATACGGGATGGCATTGGCGACGCTGGTCACAGCCAGACCCTGTTGCTTCAGTTCCGGCAGCTTCTCCAGCACGAAGAAATAATAGGCGTTGCGCGAGCCTCTACAGTTCGCCATTTCGCACCACGCCTGCGGGGAAATCGGCGGGTAAAGAAGGGGCGGGTTTGCTTTTTTAAAGGAAGTATGGGCCAATCCTGTGCCACCTTTCTTGTGTTCTGAGGCCAGCACGTGGCTGACGACATATATATATATATATAAATAAAGAATTTTTGGTATGCGAAGTATTGTAGCTCTTAACAACTTCCCCACCATCCTCTCAGACCTGAAGAAGGGTCTTCAAAGAAAAACAAGAAAATCCAGTTGTCTCTTGGAAAAGAGAAGGGGAAAAAAAACACCGTTGGGATAACCATGACCTGGATGACTGAGAATCTCCATAGACACACCAGAATACAGTTTTGAGTTTTGGCCCAATACCTAAGATGTTTGGGGCGGGGGGAGAGTGGTTATTCATTTGGTTATTCAAAAATGGGTGACAAAGCAATCATGGTGAAACAAATATTCTTAGGAGGGATAGATTGTTCAGTACTTTGAATTAAAAGCAAAAAAAGAGTACCTTTAATGCGAACAAAAAGAAAAGAACTGAGGTATCCAGTCCCTTCAAATATTTGTTTTTCTATCCTGGTATTTATGTTCTTTTCGGATAGCTCTTTTCCTACCCTCTTTTGTTAGAGCAAACAACATAATGTTATCTTTGGACAGTAAAGTTCCACTCCCACTTCCATTAATACTGTGCAGCCTTTGGTGGAAGAAGACTACAGGTAGTCCTCAATTTACAACCATAATTCAGCCCAAAATTTATTTTGCTAAGTGAGACAGTGAATTTTGCCCCATTTTATGATTTTTCTTGCCACTGTTGATAAGTGAATAATTTCAGTTGTTAAATTAGTAACACAGTTGTTAAGTGAATATGGTTTCCGCATTGACTTTGCCTGTCCGAAGGTTGCAAAAGGGGATTACATGACCCTGGGACACTGCAATTGTCATAAATGTGAGTCAGTTGTCAAACTTCCGAATGTAAATCACGTGACCATGGGAATGCTGCAATGGTCATAAGTGTGAAAAATGGTCATAAGTCATTTTTTTCAATGCTGTTGTAACTTTGAAAATGGTCATTAAGTGAACTGTTGTAAGTGGAGGACTACCTGTATAAAGTTAAAACTGGTAACACAGATCTGCTCTAAACAGAAGGATAGAAACCAAAATCTCAAAACATGCAGTTTCTTATTTTGATTTACTTATTTATTCATTTATATCCCGCTTTTACCATTTTTATAAACTCAAGGCAGCAAACATGCCTAATAACATCTTCCATCCTATTTTCTCCACAACAACCTTGTGAGGTGGTTGGACTGAGTGACCCAGCCGGCTTTTATGCCTAAAACTCAGTGACTTGGTTTCTAGTCTGGTGTTTTAACAGGTAGACCAAACTGGTCTTTTAAATTTTTTTATATTTTTTTATTAATTATTTATTGCTATTCTGGGCATCGGGCCCCTGCCAGTTTGAAGTGCTATTCATTTATCTTTGAGTCAGTAAGAAACTATTTGGAATTTAAGCCTGCTTCAAATCACTGCAGTCACTCAATTCACTTCTTGGATGGAGATTGAAGCATTGAGTTTATTTATATAATTATTGAGAGTGTGAATTAAATCCAAGCAAGTGTCTTGGAGTAAATGGTGACAAATATTTTTTACTATCTTGAAGCATCTTCTGAATAGTATTGAAATAAGCGAACCAATCCAATCTGTTAAAATCTGATCTAACCTCAATACAGCTAAGTGTATCTTAAGTGTCTTTTGCTATTTTTGTTTTGAAGTAGATCACTTAATAGCACATACAGCTGAAACTGCAAGATCTACTTATTTTTGGAGAGAAGTTCCATACCAATCTTGAGTTTATAGATTCACTGTCAGTAGGACAAAGGCTGCCATTAACCTGCAATAGTAGCAACACTAAAAACTAACTTAGACTAGTATTCCCTCCTACCCTCCAACCTCTATCTCATTTAAAAAGGAAATCATATTTCTCAATACTATTTTACTCAAAGAAAATATTTTTATGAGAAGTTTTAGAGTTTTTGTGATTTTCCTCTGCTACTAAGTTATATGTATCTAGGAGAAAATTGTGGGTGATGCTCTGGCACCTGTTCTGCTATACCACATCATGCAAATCAAAAAAATTGCTTTTGGAATGCCAGCTAATGTAATCTATAAGTATGCAAAGCTGTTGTATGGAATAAAAGAGCAGAGGAGATCGGGAATGAGTCATATACTAATTTTTTGGCCAACAAAATGTATTTGACTGGTTGGAAGCTTTTATTGTATAGTTAAACAAAGAGACTTAACTATTGTGTAGTTAATAATCTTGAGGAAATAATAGCTGGAAAAGAATACCTATACTTTTTGTTTTTGACAGATTAAATTGCTTTCCTAAAGTCAAGAACCTACACTTGCCTTGTTCCTTTTGCTCTGCTAGTCATTATAAGCAGTTTCTACTCTGTGACCTTAGGATAACTTAAGTACCTTCTTTGAAATGCTCAACAATTCATTACTTTCAAATGATTCATTTGAATAGCTTAATTTCAAGTGATTTATTATTTTTTGTTTTGTCCTCAAATAAGAATAGGTTACATTGATGGCATGCAAAACTTGGTTAAAGTGTGTTATAGAAAGTGAATTCGAGGCATTGGTTAACCACAGAGGTTTCTGGTAGATTGTGGCAAAAGTACTTTCCTCCATTTCTTCAAGGCTTTTTGTAGTTTTTGGAAATCTAGTTTTTGGACATCATTACAGGTTTTATATCACAACACATTTATGTGCTTATATGCAAATAGCATTAGATTAGGGACACTGCACAGCTTGGGAAAGACAAGTCTTTTCCCATACTATCTATGGTGCTTCAACTTCTTTCACGACTTGTTAAATTTTAATTTTCTTTTATTAAATAGGAACCTAGACTAAGGCAACTGGAATATCAACCAAAATATCTGCAAACCAACAAGTCAGGACTGGCATCATTTTATAGTGTTGTCCAGCACCAGATATATGCTAAATATCTTTTCCATGTTTAGTATCATATTTGGATGAATATTCTGACTAAATACACTCATGCAGTGTTTCCATCTGTGTGATAATTGGTTATTAAGTATAAATTGTACAATTATGCCCTTGTATGTATAACTGCTTTTTCTCAGATCAATTTCCTATTATTCTTGGCTGGCAGGAAATTTGAAAAGCCATCAAGTTAGAAAAGGTATTATATTGTAATCTCCAAGGCCAGGGACTCTGTTGCTGTTACTGATCAAATGTCATGTATAAGAATTACAGCATATAGATATTAAAGTCGATATCAGGTGACAATATCAGGTGACAGTTTACAATAGGATCTAATAACGAACTCTTCTACAACATTTGACAGAGCTTTTTGCATTGTAAATATAGATAGCATCATGACCTTCAAAGCTGGAAACGAAATATGGACCTTGGGGAGTCATGCATTGTCTGACACTCTTCTAAATAGTTTTTTTGCTGTTTCCTTTATTGTACATTGCCTGATAGTAAGCTGTCCTTAGAAGACCAGCTTGGCAACAGCTTTAAAATATGTGAATGATGAGCATGTACACATTACATCTATGTTTCTGATTGTTGTTAAAATGAAAGACTGCAAAACACACATTCACTGAATTTAGCCAGAAACAATATAATATGAGTTTATGTGCTTCAACTGCAATTTATTTATGGTTTAAATACATTTGTATAAAATCAACTCAGGCCAATTTATTGTAAATGTGAGGAGAAAGATTCAACATAGAGTGCAAGCACAAAGAAATGGTTACAGTGCATGAGGAAATTCACTCATTGAATACTATGAAGTCAATGCATGCACTATTCATGGGTACTCTCTGTGACATGCCAGCCTTTAGTGAATGCAATGAAGTAATTTAGCAACATATATTTGTTGAGGACTGCCTGATACTCACAGAGCTATAGAAATAACTGTTTCTATGGAAATTGCTGCAAGGTAAAAGCAGTGCTGAAAAAAAAGAACAATTAATTTCTAAATGTAAAATTTCTGTAACATAATTAAGGATCAGAATACTTCAGTATTTCTTAAACACAAGCCAGATTATGTATAGTTAATTGTGGGACAAACATTTTGTACCACTTTGATCCTGAAATGTGCATATTTAAAGATAAAATGTTGGTTATAGATATACCTTATATTTTGTCTGGTACTGCTCTACATTACTGAGTATCTCTTAATCTCCTATTTTATTCCTGTAGAAGCATTGGAGAGATTGCAATACAATATACAGCTTTTATAGAAATGTGATTATTTGGATTGAGCCTTGGAGGTGCACTGATTAGAAAGCAGTATTGCATGAAAAGTCTGCCCACAATCTGGAGTTCAGTCCTGATGGGGTCAAGGTTGATTCAGCCGCCCATCTTTCCGATCTTTCCATCAGTAAAATGAGGATCCAGATTGTTGGGGGCAATATGCTGACATTGTACATCACCCGGAGAGTGCTGTAAAGCACTATGTAATGGTGTATAAGTCTGAGTGCTATTGCTATTGATTTACTAATAGAAGAAAACTGCTTTAGAAATATTTACAGTTATGTTCAGAGAAAATCCATCTTCCTATATTGAATCGTTGTCATTCCTTTTTACCACAATGTAAAATATATCTGATAGCTGAATTAGGTATTTCTCTGTGCATCTACAATCTACAGGTAAATTGATATTGACAGTGTTCTTTGGGAAAAAAGGTTTCCCCAGATGTTCTGTTTCAACACAAAATAAATCAGTGAAGTCAGTTAAGAACTGAACTAGTGGATGGGATGGAATCAGAGGAACTGAAAATTAAATGTATATTTATTTAAAGAGGCTTAGTGTAGAAGTGTCTTTAATGTCCCAATTGTAGTCTGTCACAAATGAAAGCAATTGGTTGCCGACCCAGGTTGCAGGACCGATCTTGGTCGGTCCCCAAGACTAGAGATTTTGGACTCATGCTGAAGCCCATCCTCTGGGAACTTCTCTTTAGAGAAAACTTTTCTTCTAGAAAGAAGTTCCCTGAGAATGAACCCCAGCACTGTTCCAAAAGCTGAGAAGACAAAACGCCTGGTCCTACTGACTGATCCAGAGTGAATCCTGTAGATTCTGTTTACATTACTAAATAGTTGTCTGTTAGCTAATGTAAATGTTTTCCATTAACATTTTACTAGGGGAAAATACTGTTAAATGTTTATGAGGTGATCTCTTTTGGAGTTAAGAAAAATCATTTGAGCTTCTTTGAATGTAACTGAGCTGGTAGAAAGACAAAGTATTTTCTGGCAGCCGTCAATGTTTATTTGTTAGGGTAACTAAAGGGAAAGAAAAAAATATATTTCTCAAAAAGTATGCTCAAAAAGTGCCTAGTAATGGTTTCTCATCTAATTGGGGGAAAGTATTAAGAGGTTTCCTATCTGAGATGGTATGAAATTCTCTACTATTCATTATTTTTAATAGTGACGTGGATATTAATAGGTATATTTGCCATATTTGCAAATGACACAATATGGAATAGGATAGGATAGCTAATATATAGAACACAGAAATAATATTCATAATGAGTTTGCTAGTTGGAGAAGTGGTTTGAAAATAACAGAATGAAATTTGAGGTAGACATATACAAGTGTCTTTACTTTGGAAACAAATTAGGATGCTCAGATATAGTTTGGATAATAGTAATTGTGAAAAAGTGATGGGAATGATAACTAATTGCAAACTATTAGCCAGCCATGTGATATGACTGCAAAAAAAAAAAAAAAAGCAAATGCAGTGTTGGAAACTTTTGATCAATAAAGATTTCTAAATCACAGGAACTATTTTCCATTTTTTCTGCTTTAGTCAGATTCCATCTTGACTTACTGGGTTGAGTTTTGGGTATCTTAAGAAAACTTCAGGAAAAAAAAACTGGAAGAGGATCAGGGAAGGGCAACAAAGATGATCCTGGGATTAACCCCTTAGTTTTAAGAAGAGAATAAAACAGTTTCAGGGGAAAAAAAATAAATGAACAGAATATAGTAGCACTCTTGAAAAATTGAAGGAATTTACATAAATGGAAGCTAAGATTGAAGCTCATTTATTCTAGAGGTCAGACATGGAAAACTGATTAATGAAAATTCCAACCATATAAAAACCTGTCTTTCCAATGTAAAAGCACTTCAACAGTGTAAGCATTTACGGAGAGAGGGAGTAGTAGAATATAGTCAAGAAGTGGCAACACAATCATAGGTCTGGGCTGTTTTAATTTGAATTTCTTTTTTTGGTTAGGCGTTTCAACTTGATGATCTAAATGACCATTTTTCCCATTCTGATTCTATGATTTAGTGCCCCCTGCTAAAAATGGTACATGGAAGATAGGTTGGCCCAGGTATACCAATCTTGAAGACCAAATAAGAATAATTGTTTCCCTGACTTTGGACATATAAGTTAGTCAATAGTACTTCATTTATATTCTCCCTTTAGAAAAACATCACTTGAACAAAGTCATTTTTAAAAAAAAAACCAATTGTGCAATGCTTCTATAGTACACTGGGTGGTAATACTTTTGTAGAGAAGGGAGAGAAAGTTCAAATTACAGTATAATTTGCATTTGTCCCTTCTTTTTCAGCCATATTATTAGGAATGAATAAATAAATACATTTTTAAAGATAAAAAATCCGTTAGCCAGAGGGGAAAAAATAAACTAGACCATATTACTGGAATGGGTTTTGATATTGGGGGGGGGGAGAGAAAATTGCATATTAAAACAATTTTTTAAATGTTTGGAAACTATAACATATAGAATAATATGCACAACATCATTCTGCATCTATTATTGTTACTAAATGTATCAAGTATATATGAGAAATCATTTATATTTGAATAACATATCAACTACTTTGCTGCACATTACAGTTTGAAGGAGATTTCACTACTAGATTCAATGGAATAAGATTAGAACATGAACAGTAGAACAATCTATAGAATTTTAACAGGTTGTGCCTGATAATTACACTTACCTGTTACAAATGGCATCTCCACTAGCAACTTATAGTGTTTTCTACAGTCATTCAATCAGTGTTATGCCAAAATAATAGTATGGAGGGCAGTTTTCAGCAACAGCTGGGAGATGCTATGAAGACATTATAAATCACTTGGAAAGAAACGATCACAGTATTTTCATTGCTTACCTTCTTCCCTCTCTCTTATTGATGCAAATACAACTTTCTGTAGATAAATGCTCCCTTTTCAGTTTCATTCTACAGTGTTGTAAAATTATGAGATGAAAATCATGCAACTTTATTTAAACATTAGTCTCTTCTTTTAATTTTCACTCATGCCTTTTTAGATACGGTTGGTCTTTTTATGCAGGCTGATTGACCCGAAGAATTTCCAGTGATGAACTCTTTCTGTTCCTGGACAGTTTCAATGGACTGCCATGTGATTTAGAAACTCTTGTAGTCTAAGAATGATGTCAGGGGAGGTGATGTTTGAAAACATGATAAGATTTAAGCTTATTTTCAATCTGGATTTGGTTTGAGTAAAATAATTGGCTAACTGTGATTTGTTTCCCCTGCCCAAGATTGGTAAATAAAGCAAGAGAGAATAGAATTATTAGAATAGAACGTTGCATGCTTTTGTTTCCCCCTAGCAGAATGGTAGCTCCCATTCAGAACTCTGTCTTTTCACACACTGAGTTGTGTGGTGGAAGACCTGCAGATAACGGAAAGAACTCTTCTACGTGCCACTTCACAGTATTCAAAACAAGGAGCTTTATTTACTTTCTGGCTCTGCTTCCTTCCCTGCTGTTCTTCTGCCTGGACAGACTACAAGATGGACAGGGTCTTACTGGGCTGGACCACTTTCTTGTGGATGACAGGTAAGGTTTTTTTTCTCTTTAATTTCTTTGTGGATTAAGAACTTTTTGGATTGCAAATGAAGATTTTTGAATTTCTTTGCAGGCGTGCTGTCTCTTTGATATTATGTAAAGCAATGAGAGGCACAAAGAGCAAGATGCTGAGCAAATAGAAAACAGTGTATTTGACTTACAATCTTGTTTCAAATATCAATAATATACCTGTTTCTTCATCACATAACTATTTACATGAATTTTTTCTCCTGTTCTGAATCTCTCCTCTTGATTTGATTCAGTAAGGCTTAATCTGGGAATAAATTGCCACAATATTTAGTGTGATGAAGAACATAAATTACTGAAATATTTTTCTTTTCCTAAGGATGCCATCTCTGGAATTTCTTTGTAGTTGATTCCATGCAAAGAAATATATTTTGTAAATCTACAGAGAATATGGAGAGTAAGCATGATTAGGGCAGGCTGAAGATTCTTTGAGCTCTAAGAGAGGAAACAGTTTCCCACACAAATGTCTTGATTCGCAAAGCAGTCATTATTACCCCTTTTGTCCATACACCACAAATACAAATTAATACTCTCTGTTCTCTCATAAACATTGAATAATCTGCAAATTATAAATCTATAATAAGTATCTTTTTCAGAAGAAGGATGAAATCATTTTTAGACATTCTTTTAAAAATCACTTCTATAGCCTAGCACGATTTGATATGGAAGGGAAATGGGTGGTGATTTGGAATGGTGAATATTCCAAATAATATCAACCAATCAACCTTCCAATTCTTGCCTTAGTCTGCAATTGTCTTAAGAGTTGGAAAATTGGAAGGGACTAATAAGCTTTCAGAAAGTTTACCATCCATTATATTTTTCATCCCTGTTACAGCTTGCCTCCATAGGAAAGTTTGTGCTTTCTTTCTTTATATCAAAGAGGTCTGATACCCTGAAGATCTCAGGTTATCTATACTTACTTCTATTTTGTGGAACCTCTATAAATAGCTGTTCTTGCTTTTGAAGCCAATCTTCCCTTTGCCTCCCAGAGCCACTATGCTCCGTTATTGAGCCATTCAGTTTCCAGATTGCTGAAACTGTAGTGTGCTGCTGGAAGCCAGGAAGCTCTGTACTTGTGTTTTCTAACACAACAGTGGTTTAATTTAGGGAGGTTAAGGAGTGTTCCATTAAGGCGAACAAATGATAGCCTATTTGAAGCAATCCAGGTAGCTCTGTGCAATACAAACTAATTCTTGGTGTCATTGTACAGTGTGAAGAAGTGATTAGAGGCAGGGGTCATGCAATGCCCAGTTGCTGACACAGGGATAATGATGGCATCCTGGTGAGTTTTTCTGCCCCTATTTCTTCTCAAGGAGGTATACAACTTTCAGTCTACTAACTGAAATGATATTTTGCAATAAATAGCATGGATATTAAAAAATATAGGGCGGGATCACATAAAGTACATGAGGGTAATCCTAAAAAAAGAGTAAGCTACTCCAGCATTGTGTAATATGCCCTTATTAATTGATTCTGACTCTTTTTTATTGTTTGAAAGTATTATTTTCTTATAAAACTGCTACTTTTCTTGTTAGTGTTCAAGACTCCCTCAGAAAACATGCCATCTATCTTTGCTTTTATCAAATTTGTGTTACTGTATAATATTATATACATAGCAGTATACATTGACTTTCACTGTATGTAAAATAATCTCATTACGTTTACACAGCAATGTATACAATTTAACAGAATTACTTTAAGAAATCATACCTATATAAAAATGATGCCCGAAGATGCCCTGAGGTAATTCTGTTCCTGAATAAGGGAAAAAGAAATCTTCAGGTTCTCTGTAAGATTGACACTTCTATGAGCAGAATGTCATCTAGTCATTTCTACTAGGAGTGGTGGAAAAATATTACTTTGTATCTAAGTATAGCTAGAGAGGATCCTGGGAAGTTGCCAGTACTGCAATATTGAAGTTATATAAATGGTTTTGGGTTTATGGAAGTACATATAGGATACAAGAACATATATGAACCAAGGATTTTTAGGATAAAAGTAATCTGAAAAAGATTACTGTTGATAGTATCTCTGAATAAATGAAGAAAAAAATAGGATAGGCAGTTAGGTCTCGTAAAGGTCTACCATTCATTCATTATTTATTTCCTCAATTTATATTGTCCTCCACTATTAATTAAAATTATATGCTGCCTATCTCACTCCATAAAGTGATTTTGTCAACTTAGTTAACAAAACGTAAGGGTTAAAATTATCCTAAAACAAAATGGTAAAATAATAAAACATAATAAGGTAAAATATACTGTGGAATAGGATCAGACAAAGGACTCATACAGCACATCATCTAATTTTCTGGACTAGCACCTGAGAGAAGAAACATGTCTTCAGGGTATTCTTAAGGGCTGGCAAAATAGAGATAATTAATTTTATCTTTGGGATGGGAGGATTGTTCCACAGGGAAGGGTCTATGACAGAGAAGACATTGTTTAATTGATGGAACTTGATATGTGTTAGCCTTGCTGGGTTGTATATGGGAGGCAGAGACAACTGGAGACCAATGATTCCACAAATAACCATACATTATGCCAGGAAGAACTTCATAGACAACTCACCATCACCTTGATTTGTACTTGGAAGCCCAGTGTCAGCCAGTACAATTCATGCATTAATAGTGTAACATGGATGCACTAAAGTCTGGTCATAACTGCTTGTGTTGCCATATTCTGAATAAGCTATAGTTTCTGGGTGTTCTTCAATTGAGGGTTGCTGATCATAAGATTCCATAGGGTAGTTATAAATCAAGTCAACAATTATTTTTTTTCTATTTCAAATCTCCTTCCATTCCCCTTATTTAAAGAATGCTAGTATTAGCTCTTTGAGACAGGAGAAAATTATCCCTGTTCAGTTTCTCCATGCACAATTTTGTATAACTCAGTCGTATCATTTGCACTTTTTCTGTGCTAAATTGTGCCAAATATTTGACTCTTTTCTTGTTTGAGCCTTGATGACTTTAGTTTCCTTTGTCATAGTTGTTCTATATCCCTTTTCAAATATAGTGACAAGAACTGAACTCAGTATTGGAAATATAGATGAATATAGATTAAAATATAAGCACATTATAATGCTGATAATTTCATTTCCAATCTCATTCCTAATGATTCCATAGCATGGATTTGTCTTTTCTCATAACTCCAGATAAGTTGACATCTTCATGGAGTATCCACTATGACATTAAGGTCCATTTCCTGTTAGTTATAGACAGCTTAGACCAGTGATGGTGAACCTTTTCAGCACCGAGTGCCGAAAAGGTCACATGGAAACATGCGCTTGTCAGGGCCACACTCCGGAAAAGCTGAACTTTCAAGTTCTAGCGCACATGCGCGCTGGCCAATTTTTGGTACTTTCACACGTGATAAGGGATCACGCTCCAGAATAGCCGAACTTCTAGGTTCTGGTGCACATGCGCACCCAACAATCAGCTAACCGGCATGCATGCGCACACCGGTTTTCGGCAACTTCACATAAGCGAAAGACAGCTGATTGTCATGAGCGCATGCGTACCTGAAACCCGGAAGACAAACAGACAAGGCTGCACATGCCGGGCGACATGGCTTCGCGTGCCACTTTGGGCACCTGTGCCATAGGTTCACCATCACGGGCTTAGATACACCATGAAGTATATGTGAAGTTGTTTCTTTTCCATCTTCCTTGTGTATCACTTTGTATTTATTTAAATTGATAATCATTTGCCACTTGGCTGATCATGCACCCAGCTTAAAACATTTCACAATTTTTGTTTTTCACCACTACATGATTTGGTATTAACTGCAAACTTGACCAGTTTCACTTCTTATTTCTAATTTACTCCTAATTCTTAAACAAATGAAAAAGAATTAGCCCCAATATAAATGCTTCTTCATTTCATTTCATTTCTTTCTTTTGAGAAAATTGCCCATTTTTTCTTCTCTTTGCTTTTTTTTAACCAATTAGCAATCCATAAAAGGGCAGATGCTGTTATTCCATGGTGGCTAAGATTACTCAGAGTCTTTGATGAAGAATTTAGTCAGAAACTCTTTGAAAGTCCGAGAGTACAGTTTCAACAGAATCACTTCTATCAATGTGGTATTCAAAGAATAAGTTACATATTTATGTTCAGAGGTGAAAAACTCTATTCAGTTCTTTAAAGACGGTGACTGCCATCATGATCCAATGATTAATTGTTATGTGGTTTCTTATGATGTCGCAGAATATACTTATTATCACAGCCTGCTTTTGTTACTTTGATTCTTCCCAGAGAAAATTGGTAATGGTTTGTGTATGTATTCTATATATCCGTAAGAAATACAAAGAATTCATTTAATTTCTCTGCAATCAAATTTTATTTTAATTTATTTTATTAAATGTATTTATTTATTTTTAAATTTATTAATTTAAATTAAATGTTTTTTAGACAGTACTAGAGAATGTTGCTGATCTATTCTGAACTTGGATCACTTTTTAATAATTCATTTGAGTCTCAATTAGCATGGTTTTAAATAATCTCTGTGGATAGATTTTGCCCTGTTGACTTTTAATTTCAGTTACTTCTTCTCTAGTCTCTTCATTTTTCAGAATTGTTCTCTTATGGTGAATTATTACTGTGGAATCAGTATTTTTTAAAAAAATATCAATGAAATCTTATCTAAAATTCTCACAGAAACCTGTAGGCAATATTTGCTGATACTTTCCCTCCAAAAGGAGTGGATTTACCTAAATAAGACTGTTGATGCAGTGTTTACAATGCGGTAAATGCAAAGAAGTAAGAATATTTTAACACTTGATCCTGAGGTTACCCTTTAATATGAGTTTGTTTAGTTAAATTTCCATCAGGAAACAATTTATTTCTCAGAGCTTCTTGGCATCTCAGAATAAGCAAATAAAAGGCTGCTTAGGCACATCATCATCAAATGCTCTTTATCATTTCCACATTCTGGACTGAACTTGGTGCTCAGCAAAATTGCCTATCAGATTCCTAGAAAAAGTCCCAACTGTCTGCTGCAATCCTTCAAATCTATAAAGTACTATATCTTGGACAGATCTCTTTAACGGTGCTCATGTCCTTCAGGAATTTGAGGTATCAACTAACGTTAGGCAAATCAGGAAATTATTTGTCCACAACAAAAGACTAACAGCCAAATAATCAGTTTTCAAATCATCATACAATTAGTAAGAGGTGAAAACTAGATCTCATGTATGACTACTTTCATGTACGAGGCCAAAGTTTATCTGAAATAAACACAAAATTGCTATGCTACAAATTCATGAACTTGGGTCAAACTCTATCCCAAGGATTAAAAATGGAAGAATTTAGTATTATAATCCAGTTAATTTTTAGCACGAGCCAGAAAATAAGGCCCAAGAATAAACAAAAAGTGTACAGAAAAGTGGATAGTACACAATCAGAATACCTTGTCCATACAGCCCAGCGTCACAAACAGCATCGTATCCTATAATAGCAATTGAAAATAAGCAATTGAGATCTATTCTTTCCTTTCTTTTCTTTTTGTGTTCTTTTTTGATGACACTGCTGCTGTTTCTTTCAATTGTGATCATTTCCGTTTTGCATTTTGAGGCACTTTTTTTTTTCAAAATAACTTTTTATGTACAGTATTACCCTCAGGATTCTGCAATTTAATTCTGCAATTAAAAAACAGTTTTTTACAGAGATGTGAAGTAACAACCGTATTGTAGTATGTATAAATCTCCTGTAAAATAAGCCACATAATCTAGATTGTATTCAGAATTTTATTTTTATCTTTTATTTTTTTCTATATCTTTTATCTTTTTTTCTATAAAATATTCAAGATGTTTGAGTAAGACAATTTTGTTTGGCCCTGCTTACATTATAATTCTGGCAACAGCAGTTCATTTCAGTCAAATTGCAGTATATTTAGGTTACCTACTTCTTTTTAAATGCTAATGAGACATATTTTGAATTCTCTTGACACTGGTGTCTTTCCTTTTAGTTGAATTCCTAAATTTTCCTGGTATTATTACTTATTTCAAATGTTTATTTGAATTTTAGCACAATGAGAAGAGAGTTTATCTATCAACCTGCCTATGGTATCTGTCAAATGTCTCCTCCCCACAGCCATGCTGCTGTGATCTGTTTGTATATTTCTTTTATGGTTTCTTTATCAGTTTGAAAAGGAAAGTTTGGAAATAAATAAAATGTAAGTAAAGCTGAAAACAAATGCCTGAAATTCGACTTTTGTGATACAAACATTTTTTAATACTCTGATGCTGATGTAGTGACTAAATGGATGTCTATTGAAAGTTCAAAAGTAATACATCAACATAGTTGCCATAAAGTGTCACCTATTCATAATTTATGGATTTTGCCAACATAGTGCCTTCAATATTTGAAGTAACATGTAGCCATTGTGACTACCGATTGTTGATAAGTAGCTTAAAATTAATGAAGCTTAGTGATTTGTTTGAAGCAACTCAGAATTAAGGTTAGGTACCTTTTGCTTCAAATTAAATGTCAACTGATTAACTGGAAAGCAAATCTAAGTCATAAATATGACTTGATAAGCCACTGTTATTTATGATAGATAAAACAGCAACTTACCATTTTCTAGCATTAAAATTCTCTCATCTTGCTAGCCATGTTCTTTTGGCAGAGTTTCTTCTAACGTCACAGCTAGATGATAAATCTTAGAAAGCAGCCATCTCTCATTTATCTTTCGGGAATGCGCATACTGAATAGATGATATATACCTTACAAGTTAGTAACATTTATGATTTTGCTTTGTAGCTGTGACTGAAACAGTGCATGTTATGGTGCCTGACAAGAAACAGGTAGCAATGCTCTTTCAACCAATTGTGCTTCGATGCCACTTTTCAACTTCTTCCACACAACCAGCGGTGGTGCAATGGAAATTCAAATCCTATTGCCAAGATCGCATGGGAGAAGCTCTGGGAGTTGTCTCTGCAGGGATCCAAGCAATAAACAAGAGGAACTTGGAATGGGATCCGTACTTGGACTGTGTGGATAGCAGGAGAACAGTTCGCATTGTGGCATCCAAACAGGGCTCGGTGGTCACGATGGGAGAGTTCTACAAAGGAAGAGATATCTCCATTCTCCATGGTAATTCAATCTGCTTATCATTTTATTATGACTGAAGTTTTTCTTTGGCTATTATGAATAGTAGCATATAAAATGAGATAATAGTATATTATGTTATGAATAGTACAGTACATCATGTTATGAACAGTACAGTGTGCTATGAATAGTAGCATATAAAATGAATAGAATACAAAACCAGTAACTTATAAAATGAAAGCCAGTTTGGTTTAGTGGTTAAGGAATCAGGCTAGAAAGCAGAAGATATGAGTTCGTATCTTATATATCATGCCTTAGCCATGAAAATCAGCTGGGTGATTTTGGGTCAATCACTCTTTCTCAGTTCAGTCCAGCTCACAGGGTTGTTGTGAGGAAAACAAATAGAGGAAGGTGTGTTGGATATGTTCACTTCCTTATTTGTAAAAATAATAAAGGCAGATACAAATGAATAAATAAAAATTATATTTTATTTTTAGACCAAAGTATAACATTTTAATTATAGTTTATTATAAATATTTAATAGCACTCTTCATCTATCCTGTAAGTTTACATTTAAAGGTATCTACAAATTTAAAAAACATTAAAATGAACAGGACAGTTGCAAATGATGGCAATGTAACTATATTCTAAGAAATGTTGTAACAAGTATCAACATTCTTTAAAACATTATAAAATGAAAATAGATATTTTACTCATCAAAAAGTAAACACAATAGATACTAGGCAAATCTTTGGGGACAGCATGACAGAATTGTGGCTGTTATCATTGACAAGAATGATATAAAAATAGTTAATTTCTTTCCTGAATAGAAAACAGCTTTACTAGTTTTAACAGCTAAACAGCTTTACTATCATGCAATTGAAAATTAAAAAATGAAAAGTTGTTTCATTGAGTCAATATTATTATATACTTTACCCTGGGCATAGGCATCCTTTAGTAAATTTTGGCTATTAATATAATGGAATTATATACCCTTAGAAGTGGTTTAAAGCATCCTCTCACGCAGAATTCACCACCTACAATTTTGTGTAATTTATCTAGATAGAGCCATGTTTTATAATCCTTAAAGATTTATTGGCTTCCTTTTTGTTACTAGCCCCATTTGGTTATGCTGATTTTTCTCCTTTAAATTTCTAAATGATTTGGCAAAGAAATAACCTTAAAACTCACTTCCCTTCATTCTGTCCTTCATTGCATTAAGATTTTCGGAGGAGATCCCTCAGTGTAAGATTTCATTATGCATGCTGAAAGAAATCAGTTTGTTTGGGTACTGCTCAGACTTTGAATGCTTTCTGAAGGAGGCACTATTGTTGCCAATAATTGTCCTTTCCTAGGTTTATAAAATGTTTTAAATTAAGTCACTTTGTTTTCTGATCTGATAATAGTACAGTAATGCTCTTATTCTGTAATTTCATGTTGTTATAGCACAACCCTTTGTGTGTTAAAGGTTGAAATGTCCTCACCCTGTAAACACCACACACATACACACACACCATCACTCAGGAAATGTTTCATTTACTCTTACCAAAGTATTTCTATATTGGAACAAACTGTTCTAATCTTACTAGAAGTGTCCCACCCTGAAACAGGCTGTTCTGACTGTGGAATAATTTTCAGTATGAGATTTTAGGGTTGGAAAATTCCAGTCTTGTAATATTTAGCAGACCTCCATGGGTTGAGCTTGTAATTACTTTGAATAAAGATTTTTTTTCCAAAAATCTAGTATTGAAAAGCATCAGATCTAGATAGTCTAATTCAAATTTCTGGTGCAAAAATTACTGTTACTTATTTTCCCTTGTAGTTTCTGCCTAATTTTTATCTGAAATTAATATGATTTGGAAAAAAAGGCTATAGTTTCTTTTCATACAGGTAGTCCTCAACTTATAACAGTTTGTTTAATGACCGTTCAAAGTCACTGAAAAAATTGACTTATGACCACTTTTCACACTTATGACTCTTGCAGCATCTTCATAGTCACATGATTTACATTCAGATGCTTGACAGCTACTTCATATTTATGATGGTTGCAATGCCCAGGCTCATGTGACTATATTTTGTGATCTTTTGACAAGCAAAGTTTGTGGGAAAGCCAGATTCATTTAACAATTGTGTTACTAATTTAACAACTGCAGTGATTCACTTAACAAATGTGGCAAGAAAAGTTGTAAATTGGGGCAAAACTCACTTAACAAATTTCTCACTTAGCAACATAAATTCTGGGCTCAGTTGTGATTGTAAATCAAGGACTATCTGTACTGTTAATCTCAAGCTGTTCATGTATTTCCTGACGCAATGTAATAAAGTAAATCCTTGTGTTTTAGCAAAATCATTTAAACATTTGTATCATTTTATAAAAGAGTTTAAAAAATAAACTTGTAATTCTTTACTCCATTCATCTTTTAACATCTATATATCATATTGATTTATTGATAACAAACATCTAAAAAAACTATTTGTAGTTTTTTTAATTTTAAAGGATTTAATCAGTTCTAGTATTTTGGGGTCTCAGAAGCTGAAAATGCTACGGTACAAAGAATGTTGTTAGCTATATGTGTTGCAGCTATAAATATTACCACTGAATTACATCTGATAGATGATATTTGTGTCTTAACACAGTGTAAGAAATCAAAAAGAAACCTAAAAGCATGAGAAAGGGGTAAAAAGTAAAATAGAAATAGAAAAAAAAATACTATCTAGCAAGTTATAAGTACAATTATAAATGTACCTCTATGGATATAACATGCAGAAGTTCTCTTTCTGAATGGTAGTCTTCACTTAGTGATTGGTTGCTTAGCAACAATTTAAAGTTGCAATGGACCTCTCTATAAGAAAGAAATCAATCTTTCTTATTTTATAAAGTTCTCTCCAAAATTCTTTATCTTCCAAACCTTGAAAGAAAGCCCATTTCAAATTGTCAAGGGCCTTCTCTACATCTAAGAAAATGCAGCTTGTTTTTCATTATGTTGCTTCAAATATTCCAATATGTCAAAACATTTCTAACATTGCCATTTACTTTTTCCATTAGATAAAACCCCACATTAATCCTCCTCATTAATAACTTCTTGCTAAAATGATTGTGAACAATTAGAATTGACTATTCAATAATAGAAATAACAACAGCACTTAGACTTATATACTGCTTCATAGTGCTTTACAGCCCTCTCTAAGCAGTTTACAGAGTCAGCACATTGCCCCCAACAATCTGGCTCCTCATTTTACTGACCTCAGAAGGATGGAAGGTTGAGTCAACCTTGAGCCGTTCAGAGTCGAACTCCTGGAGTAAGCAGTGAGTTAACCTGTAGTACTTCATTTTAACCACCGCGCCACTGCGGTTATGCAATAATGATATCAGCCTAAAGGTTCTTGTGAAGCCAAATAATAATAATAAAAAAATGTGTTGACAGTCACAGGTTCAAAAAAACTTACTGTAATTCCCTTGTTCTCTGAAGAGTCCTTAATTTTTCAGGTAGCATTTTTAATTATTAAATTTCATCACTCCAGATAAGAAAAATTAATGTCAATAACATCTAGATTTTAGGTACCCCCTCTCTCTTTTTGATTCTTGCTTGTTTTATATTTTTTGTTAGATGCAGACCTCCACATTGGAAAATTGATGTGGGGAGACAGTGGATTGTATTACTGCCTTGTCATCACACCTGATGATGTAGAAGGCAAGAATGAGGAATCAGTGGAGCTACTTGTTTTGGGTGAGTTTTCTTCCCTACTTATATCATATATAAATGCATATTTATTCAATAAATATTAAGAACAACAATTCTTGTAAATTTGCATGAGCCTCATTCATGGGTTCTGCACTTTGCATTGTTTTTTGTTCCAGAATAAGACTGATGTAAGATCAGGCCAGCAATATTGTTTCACAGTCACTTTGCAATAATTTAACACTATTTTAGTGTACAAATAGTGGCCAAAATTGTGGAAACCTTTTGGGGAAAATGTATTTTTGTGGTTTGATGGCTAAAACCCCACTTTTTTTTAGCATTTCAAGATTCCACTTCTGGAATGGCCTGGGAATAGCCCAGACCTTACCCAATTGAAAAGCTATGGAGCCGACTAAAGAAACTTGCTAGTCAGAAGCGACCCAGCAATAAAACCCAGTTAATAGAAGCAATCACTCAATCTTAGTTTCACATTATAACAGCTCCAGAACTAAAAGACTTGGTTTACTCCAGAGGAAGACGTTGTAAGGCTGTAATTCGTGCTAAAGGTTATCCAACTAAGTATTAACTGACATTATAATTTTTGTATATCTCATTTTTTCTATCGTGATAATTTTTGTATATTTCATTTTTTTCTAAGTGTTTATACTGTATTCTGCTATTCTAATAGCAAATCCTTCATAAAAGTTAGTGCATTACATTCTTGATTAAATTATCTTTCTATTAATATATAATTTTATGGTACTAATCCAAAACAAAAGTGGTGTTATTAGTTAGTTTTATAAAATACACTTTTCCCGAAGGTTTCCATAATTTTGACCACTACTGTAATAACTGGCACATAAAAGTAGATTTAAAAAAAAATAAAATAAACACTAGACGACCAAATTAAAAGAATGCCAGAAGAAATGTATATTTTAATGTTCAGATACAAAATTTAAAATATAGCAAATTTTCTATGGCCCTCAAAATACTTGAATCATTGTTTTAAAAGATAACTAACTATTCCAACATATAAAGGGTTGTGCAAGAAAAATGTTCTAATCAAGGCAGAACAAATACTTCCGAAAATTTGGAGACAGTATAAATGGATTGGCCCAGTATCGGATATGTTTTATTTTCCAAGCTAGAATTGAACCTTGCTATATAAATAACACCAGAAGACCAGATGATACTGTGTGAAATATGTGTATCCAAGTGTGATGGTGCTTGATTTGTTCCTGAATGCAGATTGATAGATTTTACAGGCCAGCTACTGGTTCTGCCCATTACTAATCAGCCACGGTATACATCAGTTTAAATAAATTCTTTTGAGAAATGGTAAATATAAAATTTAATAAACTTATTTTCTTAATTTGTACCTTAACACTTATTACTGATCTTTGATATATTATCCTATATTTATATTGTCTATATCTTATTCCTAAACACCTTATAACAATTCTATTGTCTTTTATTGCTTGAGTTTAAGTCAAAATCTCTAGCCACCATTTAACCACTTTCAAATTGGCTTCTTTTGCTGTCAGCTGTTGTTCTAAACTGCTGCTGAAGGATTGACTTGGCAGTCTCTCAGTCTATGCTGGCAGTGAGAAAAAGAAGGTATTTTACAAGCAGCCAGCTGGCTGAAGTTTTTCAGCATTTCTGCTGGAGCAGTGAAGCTTTTGGGCTGTGCTTCTCCTTTCAATTTGTCTGCTGCTGGTTTCTGAAGTCCAAGTTTGCTCCTCCTCTATCATCAGTTGCCTTTTAAAGCTGATGGCTCCACTCCGTCAGCTGAAAATTCATTCCTTCTCTTCCCACACAAATCTTTTTCCAAATGCACTTACACACCCACACACTGGAGCTTGCAGCTTTTCCTTTTATAATTGGAGTCCAGGTGTGGTGCAATCTTCAGGTCATGCTGGTCACTGCAAGGCTGTCCTTCCACAGGATTGAAAGAAGATTTTCTGTTCATTGGGAAAGCCCTTTAATTTCGTGACAAAAGCAGATTTTTTTCCTTCCACTCTTTCTATAATTCATGAAAAAATAATAACCAATGTGTTTTTGCTGAACTTCCAAAAGCTTGTGTTTTTTTAAATAGCTGGTAACAAATGCTATATGTTTTACAAATAGTAAAAGCAAATAAATGAAAACAGTCAATATGAAGATAAAGATTATAAATAAATTACAGTTGGGTGATTGCATGTCAAGCCCAGCAGCCCTGAAGCAGCCACAACTTCCCCAAATTTCATTCATCCAGGAGCCATGGGTTTTTGGATTTTGGATACGTTCCTGAGTTCAAAAATGTTGCCCTACGATGCAGTGTTTTTATCATTTAAAGGCCATGACGAGTTTTATAGCATATGGAGAATCATATAGCAATATTTTCTTCTTAGTATTTCTTTTCTCTGCAACACAATCTAGAAAATAAAGAAAAACCAAACACTAAGAAATTACTAATTATTGAATTTTTGGAACTTCTTTGAATATTTAGACTCAACCAAATATTAATGAATTGCAAGAAAAAGCTGGATATAAATAGTATATTGAAATTCTGAGATAATTACCTTGAAAGGTTATTGTTTTTTGTTACATGTACAAAAGGATTAAAGCTTCCTATAAATCCTGAAACATCCTAAGGCTTTGTTTCTCTCTGGATTAAAGTGAAAAAAACATGTTTTGATGCTTTAAGAGAAACTCTTCAAAATCACCTGGTATATGTCACTGGATAATAAACAGATGTTTTGAAGTACTACAATCACAGTAGTAACCAAATATACAGTGATTTAGTTCTTTTCTAGTTTGTATTGGTAAAAATAAGTATTTTTAAATGGTCATTTGCACTTCATTTGCTTTCATATTTTAAAAAATGTAGGAGTCAAAACAGTAAAAATTGTTCATGCAAATGTTTCAGTTTGATTCTTGCAGAATAAGATTTCTTGCAAAAAATTAGAAAACATTTATTTAAATAGAATAAAGATTATTGGAAGATTTAGTCTTTTACTAAATGGGTATACATTTTGTCTTCACAATTTAAATAACTACAAATATTGGTATTTGCTTTTTTGAGAAACTGTGACATTAATGATTTAAAGTTATGTGATACCATGATTGCTCAGTGAGACACAATACCAAATACAAATAGTCCCCAATTTATGACTATAATTAAGCCCAAAATCTCTTTTGGTGAGACATTTGTGAAATTAATTTTGTTCCATTTTACAACCTTGCTTTGTCACAGTTGTTAAATTTTAAGTTAGTCGCATGGTTGTTAAGTGAATGTGGCTTTTCCATTGATTTTGCTTATCAGATGGTCACAAAGGTTGATCACATGACTCCTGGACACTGCAATTCTCATAAATATCAGTCAGTTGCCAGGCATCTGAATTTTGATCATGTGACCATGGAGATTCTGCAACAGTCATAAGTGTGATAAACGGTAATAAGTCACTTTTTGCAGTGCCATTGTAATTTCAAATGATCACTAAATGAATTGTTGTAAGTTGAGAACCACCTATAAGTAATCATTGTGTTGCCAACAGACTGTGCAACAGTTTCTGATTTAAAAAAGAATATTTTGATACATCTGGCACAAATGAGAGAAATAAACTTTATTTTTGAATAAGTAATATATATGATCTTTATAGAAAACTTCAATAAGAGATATATAAATGTAATATTTGTTACTAGATGCTTTTGAATTAAAGCACTGCATTATAAAAATGAATTACAAATATAAAATTTCTTGTATTATAATACAAGTAATATTCAGAGAAATTCTAGAACAGTATATAATATGATTTGAACAGTTGTCCATTTAACCACCTATCACAATGCAATACACATTTGCTGCAATGTAATTTCATTGCAGCTAATGTCTCATCAGGAGAAGCATTCTTATGAACTGGAGTGATTATTAATTTTTATAATTTATTACTCTGAAAGTTTCAGTTGCTTATATTGTATTTAAAAATATTACTAACTGCCTAAGATAGTGAAACAACATGATTTCTGAACTGTAAGATTCATAGAAAAGTCAGTAAAACAGGTAGAAAACTTAATTTTTTTCTCTTATAGTATCTGGCATAATGTTTAGAAGATAAACAAGTCCTATCTTTGCAGAATGTATGTGGTTTGGTGAATTGAGGGAACTATAATCTCTTACATCCATAGCAAGAAACTGGCGATACTTCTATTGATATATTTTAGAAGGAATGATGTAATAATTAATCATGAGTTAATTGTATGTATGTATACATATATATTCATGGTGGAAATGTATTTTAAATCCTGTCAGTTTTAAATATTCAGCATAAAATTACATGTTATACTATATAATGTGAAATGGAAAACAGAAAACTCTTCATGAGTAGGTTACTTAAGCTATGACAGTCTACATAAATTATTCTGATTTTGTTATTTTGCTGAAAGGCTTCCAGTAGCGTGATTTGCAGTAACTAAAACAGATGTTGTCTTTGAAATGCATGGGATACTGACGTTTGGGATTCAATCTATTGGTATTCTGAATCATAGATTAGCAGCTGGCAGTTCGGTTCTCCTTGGAAATAGCTGCCAGCCTCTTTTCCAATACTCAGTGCAGAAATGTTCTTTTGAGAAGATGAATTTCACAACAAGCTGCCTGGGGATGTCACTGTGGTCAATCACATATAGCTGCAGGCCAATTTTTAGAACAATTTATTATACATTCAAAAACCTTTTTTTCTTTCTCTAAGTACCTGATACTTAGTTGGCGATATTAAGGATTATTATCTTGCTGAAATACTCAACATTAGCTTGAGAACCAAGAAAAAAAAAATCTCCTAGAACTATACCCAAATTTCCCAGATCTGAAAAAGATAAACACAAATAGCTTGTTGAAAAGATTAGCTGATACTGAAGAGTTGTCCATAGGTTCACAGTAAAGCATTGTTTATATCTCAATGATCTTCATCAGAAAGTTGTCGGAAAGAAATCTTCATCAGAAAAGTATTATCTAAAGCATGGGAGGGAAAAACCTTGATAAGCCTGAAACAATTGGGAACAATGTTTTTTGG